CTTTCCTGACCTGACCGTTCTGGGGTTTTTTTGGGGACGAAAAATAGGGTTTTCTTCCATTCAAAAAAACGGATGTTAATGGATGCGGACATTAACGGATGTAAAAAGATGTTCATCCGTTTACATCCATAGAAATCCACGGGGGTCCGTTTTTCATCCGTAAACGGACAGATGAAAAACGGACAGACGGAACGCCCGTGTAAAAGGGGCCTTAAAGTAATTGTAAACCCTCACCTTGTAAAGCAAGCCATTCAGTTTTTCTAAGTAATCACCTGCTGTTTATAACTGCATAAGGAGCCCGGAGAGGAGAAACAGCAATACACTGATCTTCCCAGTGAATAGCTATGTAAGAGGGGGGGGGTGGGGTGGTGTCAGGACAAGTCTGACCATTGGAAGAGAGCAGGCTGATTTCCCAGCATAGCTAGAGAACTGACCATGCTGTATTCTGCTTCCCAGTATGGTCAGTTTTTAATAGGAAAGCAGATGGATTTGCAGGGATACCAGGGATTTCACACAAAGGAAGCCATACAAAGAGAACAGAATACGTTTTCATACAAGTACATGGTACAGCAGGCCCAGATCTGGAATATGAAATGTTGGGTTTACATATTCTTTAAGCCAGCCATAGTCAGATCGAAGATCAGCCAGTTAAGCAGGAACCGGCTGAATTTCAGTCCATCTATGGGCAGGCTATCGATCGACTTCAGTACAACCGGCCTGTCGTTTCGTTTTTTTTATTTGTACAATCACTGCTCATGGCTATAGCTACCAGCTTTGATCATTGTATTCTGACAGCAAGCAAACCTCCCACTGTCACAATACAATAGTGCAGCGGGAGGGATTGGGGAATCGAGCGATTTTTCTTTCCTGCGACCCGTGGCTGAAGGAAAGCAGATTTTATAATCTTTGACCAACCTTACTCTGATGGTAAAAATATTCAAAGCAATGGGTCGGATTTAACCAGTAAGACATAAACGGAAGTTTTAACTGCTGATATCTTCCTGGATTCATCCTTCCTCCCACTGTCAACACTTGGTCTCTGCGATTCTCTGTGCAATGCAGGTAGATCATGGCTGGTGGGAGTGGCTGCACATAGCTTCTTGAAAACAGAAGACATGGTGACACTATGGGGTGTATTAAAGCAGGGCTTAAAATGTCAAGTCCTGAGCTACTAGCCAGGCCTTAAGAGTTACTCGCCACCAACAAACACACAAACAGAGACACTTGCACACACACACAGACCTTTACATACACATACACACACAGAACATGTACACACACATACAGACACATGTATACACACACAGACACATGTACGTACATACATACACAGACACATACAGATACATGTACATACACGCAGACACATGTACAGATACACACATGTACAGTGGGGATCGAAAGTTTGGGCACCCCAGCTAAAAATTTGCATTAATGTGCATAAAGAAGCCAAGGAAAGATGGAAAAATCTCCAAAAGGCATCAAATTACAGATTGGATATTCTTATAATATGTCAACAAAAGTTAGATTTTATTTCCATCATTTACACTTTCAAAATAAACAGAAAACAAAAAAATGGCGTCTGCAAAAGTTTGGGCACCCTGCAGAATTTATAGCATGCACTGCCCCCTTTGCCAAGCTGAGACCTGCCAGTGTCATGGATTGTTCTCAATCATCGTCTGGGAAGACCAGGTGATGTCAATCTCAAAGGTTTTAAATGCCCAGACTCATCTGACCTTGCCCCAACAATCAGCACCATGGGTTCTTCTAAGCAGTTGTCTAGAAAACTGAAACTGAAAATAGTTGACGCTCACAAAGCTGGAGAAGGCTATAAGAAGATAGCAAAGCGTTTTCAGATGTCAATATCCTCTGTTCGGAATGTAATTAAGAAATGGCAGTCATCAGGAACAGTGGAAGTTAAAGCAACATCTGGAAGACCAAGAAAAATATCAGACATAACAGCTCGCAGGATTGTGAGAAAAACAATTCAAAACCCACGTTTGACTGCACGATCCCTCCAGAAAGATCTGCAGACACTGGAGTTGTGGTACACTATTCCACTATAAAGAGATACTTGTACAAATATGGTCTTCATGGAAGAGTCATCAGAAGAAAACCTCTTCTACGTCCTCACCACAAAAATCATCGTTTGAACTTTGCAAATGAACATATAGACAAGCCTGATGCATTTTGGAAACAAAGTTCTGTGGACTGATGAGGTTAAAATTGAACTTTTGGCCGGAATGAGCAAAGGTACGTTTGGAGAAGAAGGGGCACAGAATTTAATGAAAAGAACCTCTGTCAACTGTTAAGCATGGGGTTGGATCAATCATGCTTTGGGGTTGTGTTGCAGCCAGTGGCACAGGGAACATCTCACGAGTAGAAGGAAAAATGGATTCAATAAAATTTCAGCAAATTTTGGATGGTAACTTGATGCCATCTGTGAAAAAGCTGAAGTTAAAGAGAGGATGGCTTCTACAAATGGATAATGATCCTAAACACACCTCGAAATCCACGGGGGATTACATCAAGAGGCGTAAACTGAAGGTTTTGCCATGGCCTTCACAATCTCCTGACCTCAACATAATTGAAAATCTATGGATAGACCTTAAAAGAGCAGTGCGTGACAGACAGCCCAGAAATCTCAAAGAACTGGAAGACTTTTGTGTAAGGAAGAATGGGCAAAGATACCTCAAACAAGAATTGAAAGACTCTTGGCTGGCTACAAAAAGCGTTTACAAGGTGTGATACTTGCCAAAGGGGGCAGTACAAGATATTAACTCTGCAGGGTGCCCAAACTTTTGCAGACGCCACTTTTTTGTTTTCTGTTATTTTGAAAGTGTAAATGATGGAAATAAAATCTAACTTTTGTTGACATATTATAAGAATGTCTAATCTGTAATTTGATGCCTTTTGGAGATTTTTTTCATCTTTCCTTGGCTTCTTTATGCACATTAATACACATTTTTAGCTGGGGTGCCCAAACTTTTAGATCCCCACTGTACATACACACAGACACATGTGCATGCATACACACACACATGTACACGCACACTGTTAAGTGCGCTCTCCTCTCCCCTGAAGCCACTACTGGCTGACAGAATCATGTGACCAGAGTGAGCTGAAATTAGGGTAGGCACACTATATATATATATATATATATATATATATATATATATATATATATATATAATTTGCAGTACTTCGTTGTTCACTCATAGAGCCCGGGAACTGCACTCTAGGGGGGGAGGCAGAGAGCACAGCACACACTCCTTCCTTTGCTTTCACTGCACTCAGCTATTGAGCAGTCTGACGGCTCCCAGTGCAAGTGACAGATCCAGCCTGAGCTCCTCTGAGCCTGCTCAGCAAGACGGCCCTGGGGGACACACTCGCCCCCACCATAATTTCCACTCGCCATTGGCGAGCAGGCGAGTGGAAATTTCAAGGCCTGTATTAAAACAATTTGCAGAGCTGTTCATCCTATAAACTGCATGAACATTCGTTCTGTGTGAACTGGAGCAAAACTGAATGTTTTATAAGGCTACTTTCGCTCCTGGTCAATTGTTTTTCAATTATCAAAAAAGAGTGGTTGGGAAAATATTGCATTATGGTCACTAGATGGAGCCGACGATCATTGTAAATATTTCTTATGATCAGCTCCATCTAGTGGTCAGAATGCAGTATTTTCCTATTGTGTAGGAATGAATAGCTTTCGACAGAGGGAGAAAATAGTCTAGTAACAATCAATTTTGTCCCCATTTGCAGAGAATGAATGAACAAGCAATTTCATAGGACGAATATCTTTGCGAATGTTTAAAATAAATACACCCCCATAGTGTCACTACCTTGCCGTAAAAAATGGACCCTGCCAGGTCCCTACATGTTGGTATTCCTTTGACTTCTGACGCTGTCCTCGTAATCCGGGATGTGCATTTATTTAGAGTGCTGTTGACTTTGTATTTTTTTTTTTTTTTTTTTTTTTATTCCAAAAAAGTTTTATTGAAGTAAGAAAGACAAAACAGATCATAGACAGATACGGATCGCAGTCCGTGCACATCTTCATATATGTTCTCCCGTATCGCAGACGGGAAATAGGACGTTAGAATAGATTTTAGAGCAACATGCATCCAATTCCCACAATAAAGCATATGCAAAAAGTATAACCATAGTAATAATATTTACCATCTGTAATGTTCGATAAATATGGTATACAGTAGACTCTATGTATGTAGAGAGAGCTCAAGCAGCAAGACTATGAGGCGCAAGACAAACGAATTATCTCAAGGCACATATGTCTGCTATATCCGTATCCAAAAATCGTGGGTTAATTTTCTAAAGTATTATCACACTTGTACATCTAGAAGTGTTTCTGATCCTTGTAAATAATATTGCTATTTAGAATATGAGAGAAAAGGGTTGCTAAAACGAGAAAGAAAAGAAAAGAAAGAGAGACTCGAGTGGAAATGGAAAAGGAGTATGGGAAGTAATATCAGAGTGAGGAGGAGTGGGATAAGGAAGACATATAAATAGGGGGAGAGAGAGGAAAAAAAAAAAAAAAAAAAAAAAAAGGGGGGGGGGGGGAGGGAGGAGTTGGGGATTAAATCAAATAATAATAACTAAACCAATCACATCACATAGTAATCGGCCTGGTTATAACAGATGCTGTCTTAAATTAAGGTTATAATCTCTTTAAAGTCCAGTAAAGGAATTATTCCTGGGGTGAAAGTTCTAGAGATTCTCCAGTTTACCAAATCTTCTCGCTCATTCCTTCATTAAGCCATGATAAGTCTCAGTAGATAGGAAGTGAGTCCAACATGCCCATGTCTTCCTGAATCGCTCGGGGTGTTTCTTTCGCCACTGAGATCAGCTCCTCCATTTCCGCGATCTTATTGATCGACTTTGTATTTTCATATGTAACCAACATTTCCAGATGTTGAACAGTACAAAGGGGTTTTCTTGTCCCTATCACTGAAAATAAAAACCTTTTTGCCTGTTTGCAGGAAGAGAAGAGAGTAGCTAAAGAGATGACCAAACGCCTGGAAGCAGAGCAGAGTCATATGAAAGAAGAAGCTCCTGTACCCGTCCCACCCATGGTGCAACCGGCCGTCCCTGAGCCTGCAGTCGAGCTGGTAAGTTCAGCAGAACACTGCACTCACTTAGGGGTTGATTTATAAACAATGTGCATAGCTATTCATCTAGTCAAAGCGCATATACATTTATTCAGTGCGAGTGGGGCAAAAAAACAATTGTACATAGGTTATAAACTGTGCTGTTCAAATGGAAATCTTTGATTTTAAATGGAACATACCAAATTTGGCCACTAGATGGTGCCAAGTATTATAGGAAATTCCTATGCTAACTGTGCTCCATCTGGTGGCCGACTAAGATCTTATCCATTTAAAATCAAAGATTTACATTCGAAATAATAAACCATTTATTTTTTCCTACTCATACATGCACTTTCACTGGGTGAATGGCTATGTGAATTTTTTGTTTTACTCAACTCATTAAAGGTGACCTTGCATTGTGGTTACATTAAAAGTACTGTCATATATACTTCCCTTCTCCTGCTGTTGGACACCTTGGCCAATACCTGTTTTCTTTTCTTTTTTTTTAGGGGAGGGGGGTGTCAGCACACCTTTTTTAGGACTTGTGTCAATGGCAGTGGTTGGTGACCTTTTTAGAGATCACTCGGATCTCATTTAGAGGTGCCTTTACCTGCAGTAGACCACCATTTGCACTGCAAACAGAGGACCATCAACACAGGCCTTTAACATACCTTTTTCAAACCTGCTGTTCGAAGTTCTAAAATAAAAGTATCAAACAGTCAGGCAAATAGCATTCTTTTAAGGACGGAGGCCATCAATATTTTTCTCCACTCATTTTCCCTTTTAAAGACAATCTGTCACTTTGCCAATCCACGGCAAAGTAACAGAGGCCCATACAAGCCCACCTCCTGGCACACTTCTACTCACCATGACTACACTGCCCCAAAGCATGGTTGCTCCTGTGCAGCTCTTGGAAATACCCAACACTTCTGGGTATAGGGGAGTTTGTGATCTCCCGCTGGGGTGCAGTTCTCAGGCATGAGCAGGGAATCCCCAAGCTCACAAACTTTCACCTAACCAAAAGGTCAAAATTATGAACTGTGTGTAAGCTCCACTGTTATCCAACTTTGAGGTTACATAGCTTTTGATACCCAGAGGAACATCATTTTGCCCTGAGATAAGTGTGGGTGGATGAAATGCATACTCTGTCCACTTTCTAGGCACCTTTTGACCTGCGGTCGTACCTGGAGGCATCTGGACACAGTGTGGAGACATGTCCTAACGTGAGGGTCAATGCCATGTGTTGTCGGGGCTACCTTGTGAAGATGGGAGGACGTATAAAAACATGGAAGAAGAGATGGTTTGTGTTTGACAGACAGAAGAGAAGGCTGGCATATTATGCAGGTACGGTTCTTTATATGTAATGAGATCTTCCTCCTGGTATTTCCATCTACCACTCTTCTTTTTTTCTCTTCTTCTCTTCTCCTTTCCCCTCTCTTCTCCTTCCCCCCCTCTCTCTTCTTGAGGAGGACTGTACTGGGGAACAGGGAGAGTACAGTACAAGCCAGTAGAGATTACATCTGCTGGGCTGCTAGCCCTGAAAGGAGATGCAACCTCATTCAGACCTTGATCACAGTGGGACCAGCAGCTTCTAGGTACCTCTAATCATAGCACCAATTTTGGGTACTTCTCCATTATCCAACCCCATTTCCTCTTCTGTCTCTGTATCCTTCACAATCCATTCTTATTTCTCCTTTCTTACATTCTCTTTTGCTATACAGTCTTATTGCTCCACTGCACTCATCCCAACCCCCAAATCCAAAGCCTGCTGCACCACCCTCTCCACTATCTGACCCACATACTTTAGGACAACATCCACATTTTACCATACCTGCTAATCACTGCAGCACTGTGGCACACTTTTGTGGGGCATTTTGTGGCCCACAGGAAACTGTCTCTACCATGTAAGGGTCAGTTGGTTACTGTTGCCCAAATGACCAATATTTCCAGTCCCCGCGTTTGTCCTTTTTCCTCTCTTGACATAGGAAGCGTTTATAGAGTGCTGGACCCAATGGTGGGCAAGATTGGGTTTAGAATCCAACTTTTAGAGGCAACTCTTTGTCAACTGGTATAGACTTGAGAAACACCACTGTTCTAATGCAAGTCCGGTAAGTCTTGACCAATGACCCAAATCAATACATCTTATATACTTTTATTTTGTGCTTTATCATCCGTTATTCTCTTTATCTACTCCCAGCACATAAGCCCCGATGAAGGAGAGTTTTGACCTCTGAAAATACATTGAAATTTTCTTCTAGTACCTTGTCATGTGCAATAAAAACTTATCGAACTTATCAAACTTGCATTAGATCTATGACACATCAATTTTTTAATACCCTCTTCCCTCTCTTTGAGATCTTTTTGTCTGTGTCCATCCCTAATGATGTCTATCTCTGCAGATAAAGAAGAGCAAAAGTTGAAAGGAGTCATCTACTTCCAGGCCATAGAAGAGGTGTATTACGATCACTTGCGGAGTGCTTTTAAGGTAACTTTTGAAATGAAAAAATCTTTTCTTTTAACCTTAATTATTAAAATGTTTTGTATATTAAATATCCTTTCTTTTATTATATAAAATGTATGTAAACCCTAAGTGCTATAAAAATACAAGTTGATCCTGGCCGAAATTTTAGCTAATAATAGTCCTCTCTGAGGATTATACAATGCCTTCTTCCTATCTAATGGTGAAACCTCTCTGACCTTTAAAGGTTTTATGGAAATAGAGATCTCTCTTCCACAATTTAGTCTTATTGCTCTACCCGCACTCATCCTGACCCCCAAATCCAATGACTGCTGCTCGTCTCTCTCTCTGACCAACGTACTTAAAGACAATACCCACCTTTTCACCATGCCCACCAATCATTGCAGGCCATACAAGAGGTGTACTACAATCACTTTTGATCATCTGGGAATAGTTGGTTCCCATTTAACTTGGGTGTGTCTGTTACCAAATTATTTATATTTTTTGATTTGGATAGAGTAGGGAAGGGTTAAAGCACTTGCCAGATTATTTTTTGGGAAATATGAGGAAATCGTCAAATTGAGGAGAATTTCCATCTTAAACAGTTGTGTCCCCATTGGAAGATTGCCCCTCACCTCTCATCTTGGGGGCAACTGCTAAGATTTCCCTTTACTTTCTTTCTCTGAGACAAAGGTCACTAGTAAAAATAGAGGAGTGAATCTTCCCAGGGGGCATGCGGACAGTAAGAAAAACTTGTCAGAGGGGCTAACCAAGTGTCACGGTGTAAGGTCAGGTTCAGAGACCAGTTGCTATAGCAGTAAAAGGCTTACCTGGAACCAGCAGGATAGGTACACCAGCGGATCCCCCTGGGAATGACGCAGGCTCACCTGAGGTGCGGGGTCTAAGTATTAACCGGTATTCACCAGAGCTCCTAATGGTGGAGATGGATTGGGCTGCGTGTTAATACCAGGTCGCAGATCTCAGGATCACCCCCACCAGGGAATGAGCAGACTGGGAACCAATAGCGGATCAACAGGTTAGGGATCAGACGAAAGCAGAGTCGGTCACAAGCCAAGGGTCGGTCACAAATGGTAGCAGATCAATCGTGGTCAGGAACAAGCCAAAGGTCAGTAGCGGAGATGTAGACAGCAGCAGGAACAGTAGCAGGATATTGGCTGGAAAGGCACAATAATCTGGCAAGGAGGAAGTCCAAGGACATGGCTTATATAGGAAGTTCATGGGAGGAGCAAGGAGTTCAAGGTTCAAGAGCAAACAAGGCACAAGGCAGGATTATCCAATAGATGAGGCAAAGTGTTGTCCAGCATCCCAGGTAGCTCAGTGAGCAGAGTTACTGCCTGACACAGTAGAAGTCCCAGGTTCAAGTCCAGGCCCTGACACCAAGTCTTTCTCAATCTTTTTATTCCAGTGGAACCCTTGGAATAATTTCCATGTTTTATGGAACCCTTGATAAAACCAGTTAGAAGGTAGTTGGAAAAATGCTTTCTTGTGACACATGTTACAAGTGATGTTGCCATGTGGCACCATTCATTTTAAATGGCACCCTTGTGAAGCAGTGGGCAACATGTGCCAATGTAAACAGAAGTTGCTGCAAACTACCAGAAATGGTGCATGCACATCCATGGGCAAGGTGTGTTTGGATTCTGTAGAGAATTAATGGCACCACATCGCCCAAAACACATTAAATTTTTAATGCATGTCAACACAGCTTGCACAGGCTGGTGTGAATGTGTCTTGAGTGTGGTGTTTGAGACAGCAAACTGATATATGGAATTCAATGTTCCTACATGAAATAAAACTGTTATTTTTCATCCCCCAGAGTCCACACCCTAAACTGACATTTTGTCTGAAGACTTTCGAACGCCTCTTCTGCATGGTTGCACCAACTCCGGAAGCCATGAGAATCTGGATGGATGTCATGGTGACGGCAGCTGAGGAGAACCACCGCTACTGAGACCTTTTGTGATCGATGCCAAATGTTTGGGGAAGAGTGAAGGAGCCTGGGAAAAAAAATAGAGGAACACAAAAGCATGAAACACAGACGGACTTGTGAAAAGAAGGAACTTGTGTGAGAAATGTGACTGACAAAAGGGAAGAAAAATGAAGAAAGAACATTTTCTAAAACCCGTGACAGAAAATCTGTGAAATTTTAGTAGACATTCCCTGGTGAAAAACATTTTTTGACCCTTGTATATCCAAACAGGACAATTCTTTGCAACACACCATGGTTCTCACCTCAGGAATGACTATACCAAAGAGCCTTGTAGCCTTGGCCATGTCTAAGGCCTAACTAGCAATGTCTTCCACCATTGGTTGGAATGTTGATGGACCTTGCGAATTACCACTAATGCTGAGCTATGAGTTAAGCATATCTTCTAATGTCTGTGATATTATGTACATTTTTTTTTCTAACATATGGATAGGTTAAATTTTATGAGCCACATATACAGCTTGGGAGCCGCCATTTTTTAAGTTGGCATGTCATGTCAATTTAGACAAAACTCTCCCTAAAGAAACAGTGACATCACAAAAGCTCAAAACGTCTGCCTTGTCCCATCTAATGTATCTGTTGGATAACCATGACCATGTAGCAAAAAAGTAGCAATCAGTCTAGTGAACTTGGGGACCTTCCATCCAGAGGATTTGAACAAATTTGAACAGTAATGGCAAGGATGTGCCACATGAAGGCGGAATCAAAGGATAATGCAATATATAACTCAATCGAGATGGAATAAACAAAGCCAATGTTGTACTAGAGTTCAGCATGTATAGGTTTTTTGTTCTTGTGTTTGCAAACACTACAACTATCTGATGACTGGCTGACATGAGTGGATAAACATCAAACGTTGTGGTTCTTGTGGAGCCTATTCTTGTGTTCTTCAGTATGGACCTTATTTGGGATTTAAGGGTTTTGAAGCTAAGGTTGTCATCTTAGGCCTCCAAACCAGGTAGCCCTCCATTGTCTGCTGCTGCTGAAGCCATTTTGCTTTAATATTCAAAATTGTTGCAATTAACAAAAGCTTCTTTGACTTCAGAGGCTGACAGTTCTCACATTTTAATGTGGCTCTGTGAAAATTAAATGACGTTGCCCACAGCCACAGCCTAAATTTGCTAAATGAGTGAGAGTTTTAAGAGTGAGTTCATCTTTTTCAGAAAAAGCCTATGCAGTCAAGGGGCTCCAGTAGGTATTAAAAAACAGCAGCTTTGTTAAATGTTCATTATCTTTGTTGCCATACCCTGTGGGCCACCTGGAAGCCAGGCCAAAAAACTCCCAGTTAGCAGCCCCCACAAACTGTCTTGTTGCTAGGACGTGATAGTGGTTGGTTTTTGCTCCTGTAATGCTGACACTGAGCATACAACAGTTTTCACATCCTAGCAAACAGTCAGGACATGGGGATTGCTAACTTTTTGGCTAAGCTTATGAGGGGCCAAGATGGCCTACAAGTATGATTCTAAAATTAATGAGCATTTTACATAGGTGCACAATTTTGAAAAATCTATTGCGGCTCCTTGACTGCATAGGCTATTTCTGGCAAAGGTGAACTTCGCTTTTGAGGGCATTTTAAATAATACCAGCTAACAGGTATAACGTGCAGGCAGCCAGGGATGCCTGAACATCAGTCCCCTTTTAATTTACCCAAATGCCATTCTTTCTGAACAGCCACAGTTGATGTTCACTCCCGCTGCCTTTACATGCCTATCGACCCACCACTATGACAGCCTGTCCCGTTAACCTCACAGACTTTATTGCAGCCTGGAAATGTCTTCTGAAAGCGCTTTGGCATTTCAGAAGACCCCACATGTGGCTATAGCAGGGGGTAATGGAAGCTGCTGCCAGGTATGTTCTGGTATTTGCACTTTATACCTGCTGGTAATTCTCTTTATTAAAGTGAGAGAGCACTTTGAGATACTTTCATAATGGATTCTTGGTGCCCCAGCCGAAGAAAATGGAACCTTTTGTCTTTGGATTTTGGCTATTCAGAATTGGTAATGGCAATTGTTTCAAGGGTAAAAGACATTTTTTTTTCAATAACAGTGCAAACTGGACACTGGTCATGGAAATGAGAAAGTGCATTTAAGAAGTGTCTCTTGGGTCATATTGTTGTTGATTTATGACAACCAATCAGCATTCCTACACCATTGTTCTTAAAGCTGACATTTTATTGATAGTGAGTATTGCACGTCTGTGTGATATTTAATAAACCACTTTGAACTTGCTCAGATGTGGAAGATGAATAACATAGAGGCACCTTGCATACATCAGGGTTCAAATTACTGTGGAAAATGTTCGGCCTCTATCCATACAATCTCATGGTCCAGATGCTTGCCATGGATGCTGATTAGGTTCCTTAAATGACCACTATATCCTCACACAAATACATTCATAAAACAGTGCAATAACCAGCATGTAACGTTTAGCAACCAATCACGTTGGCTACTTCCCATGAGCCAACGATTACAGGTGCATCTCATAAAATTAGAATATCATCAAAAAGTTAATTTATTTCAGTAATTCAATTCAAAAAGTGAAATTCATATATTATATAGATTTATTACACATAGAGTGATGCATTTCTTTCTTTTAATTTTGAAGATTATGGCTTACAGCTAGTGATGGGCTGAACACCTCCCTGTTCGGTTTGCGGTAGAACATTCGAACATAAGAAACGTTTGACCACTTACTTTGAACAGAGGGGACAATTCACTAAGTGGTATCTCACCGCATCTGAGTATGTGGTAAGGTACCACACAGCTACTCAACATATTCTTTGTTTCAACTGTCAGCAGGGTTCCCCACTGACAGCTAAATGTAAAAAGAAATGCCGGCAATTAAAAGAAAGTCCCATCTATACCAAGTCCTTCGGGTCTAGTATGGATTTTGAGGGGAACCCCCCCACACCAAAATGTAAACAAAAAAATGGCGTGGGGGTCCCCTCTAAATCCATACCAGACCCTTTTCCGAGCAGGCCCGGCAGGTCTGGAAAGGGGGGGGCAGCAAACCCCCCCCCCCCCCCCTCCTGAACCGTACCAGGCCACATGCCTCCTCCTTCCCTCCCTGCCTCTCTCCAGAACTGCACCCGGGGACTAGCAGGGAGGGGAGAGACTTTGCAGTGTAATGAGCACCGATTGGGTGCTCATCAGGAAAGCGTGGGTCAGGGCTTATACTTTATCCCTTTCACTGCCAGAGCTGTTTTTGCGTTTTTTGCACATGTTTAAAAAATAATTTTAGGCCTGAAGATTACACAAAACTCCCAAACATGATCTATTTTCTGAAAGCAGAGACACCAGAGAATAGAATAAAATAGTGGTAGTTCCAATTTTTTATGTCGCATGATTTTACCACAACATTTTAGTAAGAAATACAAGTATGTTAATTTTAGGACACAAAAAAGCAATAAATTACCCTATTTTTTGTAAAATATAAAAGATGAGGTTGCAGCGAGTAAATAGATATCCAACTTGTAAAACCTTAAATTTGTGCGTACTCGTGAAATGGCGATGAATTTCAGTACCCTATATTTTCTATAGGTCGACACTTTTAAAGCTCCTTATAGGTCTCCAGTTTAGTGTTACGGAGGAGGTCTGGTGCTAGAATTATTGCTCTCATTCTGGCGTGCGTGGTGACATGTGACCTGTATATCGCAATTGACCGTTTCAAGTGTAGGCGCCTCAGCGTGTGCTTTTGCGTTTGTACATGTGTGGGGGCCTCAGTTTTTTTTCGGGGGGGGATGGTATGTGCTTGAGTATAACTTTCATTTTTTACAATTAAAAAAAAAGAAAATATTTTCATTTTTTTTTTTAATCACATAGGGGACAAGGTCCCCAATGTGATGATTTTTGGTGACAGATTCTCTTTGAGACCCTGTATGTCTCCTCTCTGCTCCACAAAATGTAATGTGGTGCACATCGCACCATATTACATTAACTCCTGGGGATTGCATTAATCTCTCAATGGGGACCTGGAAGTGACATTGTAACCTCACTTCCGGGTCAGCACAAGAAGGGGAGGATATCAGACTTGTCCGCTCTTCTCCCTACTCTCTAGCTGATGGCAAGCTGGGCCCGCAGATGGGCAAGTGGAGCCCGGGAAACCTCACGCACGGAACTCGGAGAGGCTGGCACTGTGTGAAAGCAATTGGCGGCAGTGCTTCCGCCGATTGCTTCACCTGACAGGTGAGCCCTGTTGCTTGCCCGCAGCAGGGCTAAAGGAGGAAAAAAACTACTTGCCCGGCACCCAGAACTACATGTCCTGGGCATCGGGCGATAGGAATCAAACATCCCTGCAGCAGTCTTCCCCTTGATTGTGTAACCTACTGAACCAGACTGAGAGACCATTTAAAGGCTCAGGAAACCTTTACAGGTGTTTTGAGTTAATTGGCTGATTAAAGTGTGACACCATAGGGGAGATTACTAAAGCTGGTTCATTCAGAATCTCGTGCGCCTGTGCATTGTAACCAGTCAGCTTCTAACCTCAGCTTGGTCAATTAAGCTTTAGCAATAAAACCTGTAAGCCGATTGGTTTCCATGCAGAAGTGCACGAGATTCTGAGGGAATCCGCTTTAGTGAATAAACCCCCATGAGTCTACAATATTAAACTGTTTCACAATATTCTGATTTTCTGAGGTACGGATTGGTTTTCACTAGCTGTAAGCCATAATCATCAAAATTAAAAGAAAGAAATGCTTGACATATATCACTGTGTGTAATGAATATACGAGTTTTAACTTTTTGAATTGAATTACTGAAATGAGCTTTTTAATAATATTTGAATTTACTGAGATGCACCTGTATATAGATGGCCTACACTTTGGGTGTATTTAATAAAATGTTACTAGGTGTTCAGGTCACATGCAGCATTCATTTTCCAGTAGTCTCATGGTGCCCAAGCTTTAGCACCAGGGCCTTTGGACACTAGCAGTCAGACTTGGGAGTAGGATCACTGGTTTGGTAAAG